GTTGAAGTCCACAAGTCTTAAAGTTGCCAAGGTTGGAGACCCATGCTCTAGGCCAGGGGTCCCCAACCTTGGCAACTTTAAGACTTGTGGACTTCGACTCCCAGAATTCCTGAGCTAACTTGCCTGGAGGAGGAATTCTGGGAGTTGAAGTCCACAAGTCTTAAAGTTGCCAAGGTTGGGGACCCCTGCTCTAGGCCATTGCACCACTCTTCTAATCTGCCTCAATTGGAGTGTAAAATGGTCCTATACCTAATTTCAGGACTAATGATAGGAGGAAATTCTGGACACTTCGGAAAAATGCCTCTGGAACTATCTACGGCCAATCCCCATATCCACAGGTGACAGTTAACTGTAAGAACCTTAAAAGAATGGTCCAGATTACCTCATAAATTGCCTGTTCCCTATTTCTCGCCACATCTTCTCCAGAAAGTGTATGGAGGCCTCCAGGGCCAGCCTAGCTGCCTTCTGGTGCAGGTAATGGTGAGGTGAGAAGAACAGGGAGGTGCTGTCCTTATTGATGCCGCCTCGTGGTTCTTGATGGCGGCTCTCATCGAACCTCCCACCATGACTGCACTTTCCTGAGGAGATAGGAAGGAGGAAGAAGACTGTCAGCCTAGCATCTTCACCTGCAAAGAATGAAGGGTGGAGTCATACCATTTGGAGAAGGATGGAATAATACCATCATCATCTCCATTTAATGATCCCATAATCCCTTGCGGGGTGGAGTCTGGGCAACTGAATGGAGCTGAGTGTTTACTGGCCAGATGCCCTTCCTGTCGCCAATGCGGCGTTCTATTCAGCAGATATGGAATAATGGAATAATACCATTCCTGTAGAAAACTCTGCTTTTTGTACAACCATTTATATGGGTTTTTTTAATATGCTGTTTTTCAACCTCCCAGATTCCTACTAATGTGAGCTCTGCCACATCATCTTTATGGGGGTCGGTTAGCCTGCTCTATAATTTCATCCAACCTGCCTGAATTTTTCAGCGATTCTGCACAAGGTGTTAGAACACATTTTGCACTCTGTTTTGTGCAAAAAAAGGGGGGAATTTCTTGCATTAAAAAAAAAAAAAGAGACCAGAGAATTTTTGCCAGGATGAACTAATAAAGGAAGTGATTTATTTATGGACTGATATAGGAAGTTCTTTTGCTAGAGACTTCCATTATTCTATTTTTTCCCCTCTTCTTCTGTCAGAGAAACAATATGGAAGGCTCTACTAGGCTTCAAAAAAACCCAAACACCTCCAAATCCTGAAGCATAAAAGATTCATTCATTTCCCCATCAATTAACTATGAAAAGGTCCTACAATTCTCCCCAGTTCCACAGGAGTGATTTCTTTTTCACATTCTTTTTCACACACACATACTGGACACCAAATACTATAAATAAAAGAGGCAGCTGACGGAGAGAACATCTCAAAGAAACACAGAAAAAAAGTTCTCGAAGCTGTGCCAAAGCTCATTTTCTCCTCCTTACAGATTTTAGCGTCAACTCTCTTGAGGATGTAAGGAGAATACAAATGAGGCTTCCGGCTTTGATAGTATTAAGGAGAGGAAGGGAAAAAAAACCTCTTTGGCTTCCAAACAGAGCCTCCCCCCCCCTCCTCCATTGGCCACAAAAACATACCAATAGGCTTTTTGGGATGGGAACCATAGTAACCCGTGGTGAGAACAGCAAGCTTGTCCAGGAGATTTCCTTTGCAGGTCCATTCAGAGCAATCGTGGCAAGTCCAGATGCCAGCTGAGAAGGCACAAGAAAAATAGCATGAAGTAAAAAAAAGGGGGGGGATAGGAGAGAAGGCGGGTGGGGGTGGGGGTGGCGAGGGCCCTGAGACCCTGCTTGGTCTCAGCAAAATGGACTGATGAATGCAAGTTCCACTTTTTCCTCACTTGGCAAAAAGTTCCATTTTTTTTCACTCGGCCAAATCTTACAATAGCATTTAGAAATATATACCTCCCCCCCCCAGTTCTTTACAGCACTCTCTGGATGGTTTGCAATGTAGAAGCATTATTTGCATATCGTCCCCCCAACAATCTGGGTCCTCAGTTTACCGACCACGGAAGGATGGGGAGGCTGAGTCAACCTTGAGCCCCGTCTCAGGATCAGACTCCAGGCTGTGGGCAGTTTGCTTGCAATACTGCATACTTGAATCACTGCGCCACCAGGCCTCTTTGTGCCAACTTTCCCCCTAACCCTAACTTTACAAGCTTTTTTTTTTTTTGCCACAGTTGTTAAGCGAATTGCTGCAGTTGTTAAGTGAAGCATGTGGTTGTTAAGTGAATCCAGCTGCCCCCATTGACTTGCTTGTCGGAAGGCAGTTTGGAGGTCGCAAATGGCTAGACTTAGTCTTAGAATAACTTGGTGATGGTGATCACGTGATCCCAGGATGCTACAACCATTATAACCATTTGTCTGGACTATTTGCCTGAAATAGTATAGGATTTCCTACCTGAGCAGCGGGTTGGACTAGAAGACCTCCAAGGTCCCTCCCAACTCTTCTCTTCTAATTCTACTCCTATTCTGTTCTATTCTGTTCTGTTCCATTCTATTCTATTCTAAATTCTATTCTATTCTATTCTATTCTATTCTATTCTATTCTATTCTATTCTATTCTATTCTATTCTATTCTTATTCTATTCTATTCTATTCTATATTCTACTCCTATTCTGTTCTGTCCTGTCCTGTCCTGTCCTATTCTATTCTATTCTAAATTCTACTCCTATTCTATTCTATATTCTACTCCTATTCTGTTCTGTTCTGTTCTGTCCTGTCCTGTCCTGTCCTGTCCTATCCTATTCTATTCTATTCTATATTCTACTCCTATTCTGTTGTTCTGTTCTGTCCTGTCCTATTCTATTCTAAATTCTATACTCCTATTCT